TGAATCCGAGACTCAGGGATAAAACGTACCACTGAAGATGCTCTGTTCCCATAGTGACTGACCACGGGTTCTGAGCTGCCTCTGAGAACATGGGAATACAAAATGGAGACTCGTTATGTAGATACACTATTTGAATGGTCTGCAGGCTAAACACAAATAAAGCAAAGCCTCGACAAAAATCAATAGCAGCCCTGAGAGGATTAGATCTGGGGAGTCCAGTCACGCCGAGTTACTCCAATAAACGCAGTTCTGTGAAATAAACAACCTATTTCATTTTAGGAATACACAGCTCCCTTTTCACCCCTGAGCCCCTCTATCTCTTCTATTACAAACATCCTACCTCGTAAAAACATCCTTGGAATTATAGTGCTTTTGCTGGTTGAATATGTTTGGTTTTTTTCTTAAAATTATCACAGGTAATATATGAGGTTATTGTTTGCAACGCTTAAGAGCTGGTTTTACCAGTCAGTTTTACCTACTTAGCCAGCCAGTCTGCAAAGCGTGGGACAGACTCAATTGCCTGAACTAAAACGCCAAGTTTGATGCTAGAAACAACACTTGCTATATACTCTTTTACACAGTGTTGAGTTTCCTTATTCTTTGTAGTTTCAGCTAAGGCAATTGACTTTCTCATCTGTAAAGATCTTGCAGTGTTTATGTGACAGGAATTCAAAGGCCCTATGTCACTGCATTGTGGAAGTCCATGTGTGTTTGTGTTACACCATTTTAACAGCAATTTAGATGTATCTCTGCCCATGTGTTCTAGCAGGCAGCTTTATCCAGACCTGTATATCTCTATGACTAAGAATCCATTTCTGGTTTCTAAACTAAATTAATTCATGGGCAGTTTATACCCAGTTAATCTTTTGCCAATGTTCTTTACTGTTCTTTTCATCCCTGCCCAGTGCATTTATAAATGCTAACCACAAGCCCTTTCAGTCCTTTTTGATGGACTAAACCAAACTAAACCCTTTCAGTTCCCCCTCATTGAACAGGGCTTTACAGTCCTCTGATCATCTTGGTAGACCTTTTCCAAACTCACTGAGTTTAATTTTACCTTACTTGAACATGAGTGATGAGGGCAGTACATCATGTTTCAGATGGATCCAGGAAGTTTTTTGCAGAAGGGTTCTGGATATCTCTCTATCAGTTCTGAAAATATCTTGCAAGACTGTATTTCACCACACAAAGTGAACTCTTAGTCAGTCCACTGTGAGCAATTAATACACTTTTTTGTGTGTGCTTTATAAGCCATGAGGCCTCACAAAACACACTAACAAAAAATTTCTGCAAAGAATCTGCCAGTGTGAATATTTAAGTTTCCATTACTCCATGTTGATTTCTTTGTTCTGAGAGCTCCTCATTTTGAATATATTTTATTAACATGTACCCTTTTTCTCCTGTGCCAACATCATTAATGAAAATATTATACGGTTGACAAAGCTGGTTTTAAAAGCAATCCTTTTTGGAAATCTGTCACAAATCTTACTTCACATTTCAGCACAGCCTACTGTCATTTGCTCTTTATCCAGAATAGTTGTTATGAGGTAAGCTATCAGATACATAAAATTTAAAAAAAAAAAAAAAAAAAAAAGTAAGATATATCATATTTCTGCGGTATGGTATAGTAAAATACGTTCTTGGTAAGATATTTAAGTCCATTGCACTGATGATTCTGTTCTTCAGGACATTGCCATAACCCATTGTAAGCCCATCATTCTTATGTACTAATGATATCAGATGAACGGATATTGTTCAGATAAATATTTTTTTAAACAAATATTCACTGTATTTGCTGTTTTTCAGATTACAGTTAATCTCTGAGTTTTTTTCTCAGAACAGCTGTAGGCAAAACTCTTTGCCAAAGGACAGTATGTTCTTATGTCAGGTTTCTGGAATTCATTTTTGGAACCTTGTATCTTGAACTCATTAAGTTCTAATATCTACTTTCATTTCAGATGTGGATTCTTTCACACTTTTGTCACACTCTCGATCTCGGCTTTTTTAAAATATAAAACTTAAAGTTAAGAAGAGCAGTGGTCAGAATATAACACAGCACTTGTATGTTTTCATATTTAATATGAGTCACAAATGCAAGATTTCTTCTATTAGCGCCTCGCCATGCCTGTGGTGGAACACAGGGGAGAACAAAAACTGTGCTATAGACTAGTCAAGCCCTAACCTTAGTTTCTGACATGTCTGTTTTCACTGACCCTAGTTTTAAATGTCAAACTGTAATGCAATAAATGCATGTGTCCCTTCATAGGTATTTTTTACTAGTTTCTGATGCGTATATAGAGTAACACTACAAACAAACAAACAAACGGCAACCTAAGGGTGACTTCCTGATGACTTTACACCCCCATTCAAAGAGGGGCTGGCAGAACAAACAGAAAAGGAATGAAACAAGTTCTTCTGGGATTACAAAGAAAAATGTCTTTTAATTTCTGAATAATATTGTCAGAAAGAGTTAAACTGTTAGCTGCTCTTTGCAGAGAAAAGACAGTTCCTACAGCTGATTATTCAGAATAACCCGAGTAGAACTGAACAGTGACTTCGATAACCTATAAAGTATTTTGTGCTTCCAGCTATACTCCTAGCACACACAGCACTTCAAGGTCAAGGACCTCTATAGAAAGTCCAAAGTAACCCGGTATTTTTAATCATGCATTCAGCCTGGGGAGGAAAGCAGTGTGCAACTAGATTTCCTCAACTGCATGGCATTTTAGAAATGAATGATCTGTATTTCCCTAATCATTATGGTCAAGGATGAACATTTTGTCTCTGTATAATAGAAAGATATTGCAACTCCTTTCATTATGGCTGAGGTCTCCTGAGACAAATTCCTCCAGCCAACTTTTTAATTTGTCTACTCCCTCTGCAAATGATATCTACTTTAAAAAAAAAATGGTGTTCCCTTTCTCCTTGTATCCTGATGTTCTGGCAAAAGGTTGAAACCTTAAACTCACATGCAATGACCCACATAAGCATTCTCCACTGATTCCACACAGGTCATTGGTACAATGTCCCATCTGGTTCATCATAAAAGTCTTTTTGTAGGTGAGCTGTTACAACTATCATACACATGATTTGGTTTTACTGAAATATAAAATCAGGTGAAGAGAGTAGGTGCACAACACAGATTCAATAATTGTTAAGGCACTTCTCCAGATTGCAAGCATGCCTCAGTCATTTCACTATTGACACTTCAACAGTATGTTGACAATAGAGCAAACTAACAGTGTAGAAATTCAGGTCAAAGAACCTTGCCTAAAAATCTGTACTTTATATGTATATATGTACTTTAATGAGTATGCTCCGATTCTCATGCAGTAGTGTGACTACTATCCATCATAAAAATATTAAATATTATTTTCTAAGAGGAGCAGCAGATTGCTCCTCCTCTGTGCTCCCCCTTGAAAATTATATGAGGGAGAAGGTTCTTCAATAACCTTTATGGAAGTTAAAAAGGATGCCATTCATCCTCTCACATGGTTCTCAGCTATCACAGAAGAGGAAATTAGAAAGAGAAACCCAAAATCACTTCCATTTTTGAAAAGTACCATCTAATAATTAAATGTATGCAAAAATTTGTATGTCAGTCTTGCCTGGAAAAATCAGCAGAGCTCAAAAGGAGAAACTCCTGCTGAAGGTAACTTAGAGAAAGTATGCATAATGAAAGCTACTGTTCGCAAGAAATAACTACAAATAGCACTAGTCATTTTTTATAGTTTGTAAATTCACTTCCACAATATTTTAATACATTTTAAGAAGTGTGGTAACACAGGTCTTGCTAGGAGAAAAACTGACATTACATTACTAAGACTTCCTTAAAAACAAACATTTTCAAAGCACTGACACTACAGAAATCATTATGGAAAAAAAACCCCAACACTGAAATGGCATTAAGCTAATAAGCAATTGCAAGTATTGTAATAATGGACCAAATTCTACCTGTACTTTGTCCTAAACATCGATAGTAAAACATTCAGAAAATCTAAGAGGAAGAATCTGACTACCTATGTTAACAACATTAAAGAGGGAATATTTCTACCTTCATCTTGTGCTTTTCCCTTTTTTTAGCTGTTTTCTCCCAGCATCAACAAATGAAATAGTTAAGAAAGCTAAATTACGCCAAAGAATTTGGGAGCTATATTTAGCAAATATTCTCAAAGAAAAATCACATATCTAGTCATGCAAGTAATGTTTTACATGTATGAACGGATGCAATACTAGGGTCTAAAGCTAGATGATGAGGACATACTGCACTGTTCAGAGGGCTGACAATTTCAAGTTTACTTAATGATGAATAGGAGTTATTTGAATGAAGCCTTGAGACTAACTGGTTTGAAGGAGAAACCTGGAAATAGGTCAAACACTTTCTATTGACTTCTTGGAGAACTAGGAAGCACATGCAGCCAAACTGTGTTGGCTGTGTAAAGTCATTTCCAAAGTACAACATGCACAACGACTATTGGCGTGGGCTGGTGGGTCTTTCAGTTTGTGCATTTATTGCTATAGAGTGAGATAATGAAAAAAAAAGTCAGCATTTTTTAGAGCCTGTGAAATGCTGCAAGTAAAACAAATTCATTTAAAAACAGATTTTAAAATTAGGTTAGCCAACAAACACTTTTTCTGTTTGGATTCCTACCTAATATGGTGAAAAAAATAACAGAGATGAATATCAAACATGGTTTGTATGACAAGATTTATAGTGCCTGCCTCATATTACCTTTCAGAGAGGCAACAAATAGTCCTTGCTGATCTGCAGTTAATCTTACACTACGGGCTGAGAAACCTACCGACACTAATAATAGACTGTGTGCACTGCCTCCAATAGCTCTATGCTGAAAGACACTGCAAAATCCACATTAAAGAAAGTATAAAACAGCTCCTATATTGGACACACTTTATCATTTGTTTCATTAATTCACACTTAGCAGCAGCTATCAAGGAGGTGACAAAATTGCATCATTACAATGAATTACATTCATGGTTACCTGGTAGATTACAACCCGAAATTTGTTTTTTTTCAGCATCTCCTCTTGTTTCGCTTCAACCTTCCGTACATTTGCACTCTGCCTTTCCACGCGTGTCCTTACTTCTTTAACAGTGGAACTAACTTTGCGGGTTTTCTCAAGCAACTTGTTAACTGTATAACCTGTATTGCCATGAGCCTGGGCAAGCTTCAAAATATCAATCTGTATGGTCTTGATTGCATTTTCCATCTCTCTGTGTCGCTCCTCTATCCTTTTCTGGCTTGCCTGCACACTGTCCACAATGTTGGCCACTTTATCCAGGACTGTCACAATTGTATAAGCTGCATCTTGTTCTTCTTCATTGTCCGTGACACTTGACAGCCGATTTTGGTGGATTTTGTCAGCCTCCAATATAACTTCATGGTGATCCATTTTGCCTCACTTCAGTTAGGTCTTCAGGAGCTGAAGTTTAACTGTTCCCCTCAACAGCCGTTCAAATCCTGTCATAACAATTCTGGCACTTGCTGCCAGGAGCCAGCGCGACAGCTGCCCTCGGCGGCGCCCAGCTAGGGCGTGCAACTGCCTGCGCGCCTGGAGGTGGGTCAAATATTTAGGACTACAAAATATCCACGCATGATTGTTCAGATGCTTTCAGCAATATGAAACCTCTAAAATTAGGAAGCAGAGTCTGGAAAGGAACACATATTTAAAGGGTCATGCTGTACTGATGAAGTTATTAGCGTTAATCCAGGAAAGTTAAGTAACTTACCAATTAAGCAGGAGAGCAAACTCGCATGTTCTAAAAGATCTGCTTCTGTTTTCATGTTACTGAAGTGCCTTCCTCTGGGGGAATTCAGTGCTCAGGAGAGTAAACATAGCTGTTTTTATATCAAAGTAATTTCGGTCTTCAGTTTGGTACAATTACCAAATCAGATAACAATAAACACACTAAAACAAACATTGTGTTGTGACATGCTTTTCTGGTTCAAAATGTTGAAAGCATTTTTTATTGAACAAATTATTCAATCCTACATGCGGAATTCTGAAAGCCTAAACTACCTGCTAAACATCTGAACACATCCTATCTGTATTATTTCTCTGGATCTTTCAAACAACAACTAACATTCTATTAATATAGCTACGACCAGCAGACTAATTTGGATGTACATTTTTAGCTCTTGAAAAGACAAGAGCACCAATAAAACACTATATAATCTCTATTGCAGGTGTTAAAACATGTATTTTCTTTAAAAAAGTTTACAAAGTATTAAAACAACTTCAACAGTGATAAAGTAGGCTTTATTTCAATTATTTGAATTCAGTTATTGAACACCAATTTTTACAGTACCTAAATCTACTAAGATCTACATCTTTTGGACCGTGCCATCTGCTCTACCAGGTATTTTCCTAAGTTATGAAATGTATGATTTTCCTCTTTAAAAATAAATTGTCGGAATTATTTATGAAAATGGTAGTGTTAGACCCAGTCCATACCTTTTAGAAATATATTACAACTACGCACAGCACAGTTCATGCGATAGGCAGTGTCTAAAAAAAAATCAGTAACTAACTTTCAAAAACATTTAAATATCTACGGTATTTAAACACAGTGTATTCTAGTTTCTCATAAGAAAAGTTAAGTTGTAAACATTTTTGCCTTTAGTTCATGCCTTGTTTGCTAGGTAATATGGACACTTTGATGTTTTGCTTTTTAATCTACAACCATTGGTGAGATAAGTCTGTTTTCCAAAATATTACAATCCATGAATAAAGTACAAGTCTATTATGCAACCATGTGATACAAATACAGAAAATGAACTGCTGTATTCAAAAACATAAAAGTAAAGTTACTAAAACAGTCCATAGCTGTTAGAGCTGATGCTTTCAGAAAACAGACCAACATTGTTACATTAAAAATGTTCAAAATAAGGCCTCTGAAATAAATATTTTCATTCTTAAAAAAAAATAATAAAAATGTACATCACACGGTCAATGCAGGTATAAAAATCACTAAGTTAAACCATTCTGGATGATGTATCTGAAGTAAAATGGCCTAGATTTTGCTTCTGCCGACGTCCTCTGTTGTTTTTAGGGCATTTTCTGTTTTAAAAAAAAAAAGGAGAAAGAAGTAGAAGAGATTTTTCTACATATGACATATAAAATTTAAATGAGCAATCATAAATTGACTTTATGTTGTACCCTTAATATAAGAAAAAGCATCTCAGCTGTGCTGATTAGGGGAATACTCATGCTGTTTGGTACCAGACTTACACCTAAGAAGTCACCTGTGGGAGTCAAGATCTCCCTGAAGGGAGGGCTCCTTGAATCTGAGACTGGAAACAGCAAGGGGCTTGGTTCTTCAGCCTTGATCCTATATAACATATGCTGCTTGACTAAGTATCCTGGCATTACTTTTCTGCACATGAAATTCAACACATGCTAAAACTGTTGCTGGATCAAGTCCAGGGAACTAGATTCTTTGTTCATTCTTTGCAGTACCTGACTTTCAGAGGCCTTGCTACTTACTGGCATTTACAATGTAGAACCCACTTTCCAGAATTTCTGTGGGAGACTCAGACTTTCTATTTTTGAGGTACGGTTACATATGACTAAGAAAGAATTTATGAAAGCCTGCAATTCTCAGTGGAAATGGACTTAGCACTTCAGAGAGTGAGCAGTGCGAAGCAGAGCAATTCTGCTGAGAGACACCAAGACAGTCTGACCAACGTATGGGGAACTGTTGAGGCAGACTCCTATGAAAAAGGAGACTGTCCGACCTGACACATAAGTGTTTGTGGAATAGCAGTGTATTGGCTAAAAAAAAAAGATGATCTTAATTCCTTGGGACAAATATGTATTTTATATGTGCAGGCAGCATTAGATTTGTTTAAGTATACATACTGTTCAAATACCCAAGAGAGATAGGGAATCCTGGACAAGCAGGATTATCTACAACACGTTGCACAGGATTGTATCCAGGAGGGTTCTGAATATCTCCAGAAAAGAAAACTCTGCAAGTTCTCAGAGCAATCTGTTCCATTCTTCGGTTACCCTCACAGTCAAGAAGTTTATTTCCTCAAATTCAAGCAGAACTTCCTGTGCAGCACCACTGAAACGACTCTGGTCCCATTCTCTTGACACTCTCCCTTAAGGTATTTATAAATACTGAAAAGATTTCCTCTCAGTCTTCTCTTCTCTAGGCATAACACGCCTAGCTCTCTCAACCTCTCCTCAGATGAGAGATGCTCCAGCCCCTAATCACCTTTGTAGCCTTCTGGTGGGCTCTTTCCTATAGTCCCATGTCTCTCTTGTACTGGGGAACTCAGAACTGCAGAGCACTCCAGATGTGGTCTCACCAAGACTGAGTAGAGAGGGAGAATTATTTCCCTTGAGCTGCTAGCAGTGTTCTTCCTAATGCAAACCAGAATACCATTGGCCTTCTTGGCCACAAGGGTACACTGCTGGCTTATCGTTAACTTGCTCTCCACCAGGATGCCCACGTTCTTCTCTGCAGAGCTGCTCTCCAGTAGGTCAGCCCCCAGCTTGCACAGGTTCATGGGGTTATTCCTCCCTAGGTGCAGGTACCAGCACTTGCCTTTGTTGAACTTTAGGAGGTTTCTCTTGCTAAACTCTCCAGTCTGTCCAGGTCAATTCATATTCCTTCACATGAGTGTCAATGAGCTTGGAAAGCTGGGCACTAGTGCAGTAGCAGAAAGCCCTAATAAGCCTGTAAGTAGAACTTAAAAAGTGAAGGAAGAGTAGAGGAGGCAGATGTAAACTGTGGCATCAATGCCCAAATGCAGGGCAGAAATGCGTCATCCACCTATAAGGTTTTCCTCTGAGGGCTTTACAAATGGATGGGTTCGATGGGATGGAAGTGGGAAATCTTATCTTCTACAAGATGTTATCAATGCTTGAATTTCTTCAGTGAAGGTATAAAACATTAGCTGACCTTTCATTCTACCTACAAGACTGATCTGTTCTGCTACATATTTGGTTTGGTGATTCTGAGTGATCACTAGTGATTTGTGAATTTAAATTGATGTATGTTGTGTGACATAAACCAGCAACACGATTTTGCATCATTCTACACAGCCATTAGATATATTTGGTTTGGGTATTTCTAAATATATGCTAAAGCAAATAAGACTTCAGGAAGATCAAATATTTAAGTACATAAAGGATATACATATATATACAATGTGTATTACATTGGTTTTGCATTTACCTACCTTGTTATGCACATTACGATTGCAACTATAATGGCAATCTGTACCGCTCCAATTATTGCTGCAATAAGGACATGCGTAAGCTTTTGTCTGCTTGGGACAACATAAAGAATGCTAAAGTCTGTCTTTTCACAGTGCTGTCCAGTATATCCTGATTCACACCTGAAAAGAAAATGAACATTTCATGTAAAATATATTTTTTTACAACAGTTTAGTCATTTTTCAGATAAAGAATCCAAGATGGGGGACAAAATGCTCTGTAACCAATGAAAATGTGAAAGACCAAGACATAAATGTAAAGCCTGGAGAACATTCCGATGACAGCAGGAAACATGTTCATCAGTGACACCACTGCTATACCAGTAACTCAGAAGGCACTACCTTCTCGAGTGTAAAATGAAACTTAGAAAGCAAAGAGCTCTTCTGAGATCCTGCCTGTTCTGTGAATGAGTGAAGCAGTGTAGATGGTAGCTGAGAAATGGTCATTGGGAAGGCAGAAATGTGATAGTGCCTGGATTTGAAAACAGTCCAGATTCCTGTGGTAAGAGAAGAAACAATGGATATGCTCCACTTTTCTGGATAAGGTATTAGTAGCAGTCTCTAAAAGTCTTCATGGCCCTGATTTGGTGGAAAGAACATTTGGGGCAAATTTTATGAAGAATAAACTAAATGAAAAACGTAGGCAAACTAAATGAAATAATAAAATATATTCATAAAATTCAATTGGAATATTGATAAAAGTGAGGAATGAAAAGATGAAAAGAAACCCTGAAAAGTAATAAAAAAACCCATGCCTTTTCAAGCTTTAACCTTCAGAAAGAGAATCCCGTGAAACCTATTGAACAAGACTAGCACCAAACCCCATTCTGCCTCGTCCATAAAACCAAACCTTCTTCATTTTTCTCTTTGCTAAGCAGCTCTTACCCAAAATAAATGTGAATATCAGGCCAAATGTGATTCACAGAGATCAGGTTTTTGTCCTTGCAAGCTGCACAGAAAAATCACGAACACTAAAGACTAGATAGCTAACTTAAATGAATCCCACAGCCCCTCAAGGAAAACAGAGCTAACTTGAAGGACACCAGCGGGAGGGAACCCAAAGGTACAAAACTGTTTCAGTGAGAGTTCATGGAAGAATCCATAGGAAATTGCTAAGGTTGGTTAAAAAAAATGGTAGAAGGCAGAATACAATATCTGCTGTAATTAGTATCTTTCCTGAGCAAATCA